GGAATGGGTAACAACATGAAACATGTGCTTGCTCTATTATTAACACCGTTAAGCGAGGGATAATTTCGCTAACCGTGTGCTACAACGAGGGATAATTCGTTATGAGCAGTAGGTGATAATGGTATCACTAAGAGAGAGTAATAGAGCGAGTAGGTGATAACACGATCATCGAGAGATAGAACGCACGGTCTTGTTAATACCTAGGGTACCCGAATTAAAATGGATAGGTAGAATGGAAAACGTAACTTATCATGTGCATCACCGTACTTACCGAGCTTTGGCTCACCCTATTTGTTCTTATATACCATGATCGATAAAAACAACGGTAATACTTATAAGGAAGTCAGTCGGATCCTCCAAAACGGCTCATGTGTGACACAAATACATTGGAATCTATTTTTGTTTCGATTCAAGGGTACGGTGTCAATGGGGGATTAAATGAGCTCTTAAATAGTCTATAAATTTATTTATTTTTGTTAGTGATATTTGCTACGGATATGTAATTTTTTTTACACTTTTCATCCGTACTATGTTATTAATTTTTATACACCGTACTATGTCGGATCCTCCAAAACGACTCATGTGTGACACATACATACAAGAGTTATGTCAAAATTAGATTATGTTAGCATGACGCACCTCGCCCGGCCACCCCTATTTGGGTAATAAAGAGTGGACTAAGGTAGGGGCGCCACGAGGAATGGGAGAAAGAGAGGGAGAGAGTTATAGAGAGAGGGAGGGGGAGAGAGAGTGAGAAGGAGGGAGAGAGAAAGATGAGAGAGATAGAGGGAGAGACAAAGAGATCGAGAGGGGGAGATAGAGGGGGAGAGAGGGAGAGGGAGGGAGAGAGAGGGATAGAGAGAGGGAGAGAAAGAGGAATGGAAGGAGAGAGAAAGTGAGGTAGAGAGAGGGAGAGAGAGGGAGAGAGAGGGAGCCGGGGAGAGGGAGAGGAAGAGAGGGAGGGAGAGAGAGGGAGAAAGAGATAAAGGAGGGAGAGAATGGATTCATTTGATTTGACAAGTATGTTTGGTTTGTGGTGGTCATTGTATTGGGTAAATGAAGGTCTTTGGGTGTTATTAGATTGCCATGATCTTCATGTTTTCTTTGATTACTCCCTTGATTGTTGGATTGATAAGATCCAGTCTTAACTCGGTGTATCTCATTATCAATCCTCTTGGTACTACTACTCCTTTTCTTTTCGGAACCATTAGGAATCTTTTCAGCTTAGATCACTTTTTCTACCCTCTAGACTATGATAACAATATTAGTAAAACTAGAGGAAAAGTTTCTAATGAGATACTCAAAATATGATTTCTTGAAAGTATTTGAAAAAATAATGATAAACTCTTATTCGAGTAGTGATAGATAAATATATGATGCCACCTCACCCTATCTTTAGGCATACTCCTTGATGGTTTCTTTTAGACCCTTTTTCATGCCTTGTAAATTAGATCAATTTGGAATTAGCTCTATATTGAACTTGTATCGTTGGATAAAAACATCAACGAGATGTTTCCATTTCTTAATCTTGGCTCCTTATAGCCTCATATACCAATACAAAGTAGATCCTCCTAGGCTCTCATGGAAGAAGTGTATTAGCGAGTTTCTCATCGTATATAACCTTAGCCATCTTATACTAATAAACCCTCGGATGGATTATGGGACATTGAATACCAATGTATTTAGTAAATTTTAGTACCTTGAACTTTTTCGAAATCACTATACTAGATGCTAGGCACATCTCAAGCAACTCTTACATAGTCATAAACATTAGCCCCTTTGATAGCCATTAGGCATTCTTCAAAGCCATTAGCTTATCCGAACATAGACCCTCGCCTATCTTACACTCATAAGTCTCTTCTTTGAAGGGATCCATCGCGAGCATAAGTGACATTTGTGGGACTCTTGGTTTCATTAGATATGCACCAAGTAGGATATGAGGTCCGTACATTGAAAGCCATCTAATTGGTCATTGGTATGGCGGATGGCCCGAGCTAATGGGGTGATGGAACAATATATATCACTTCAGAGTTATGCTTAGCCTTGATTCGAGCTACTTCCCTACTTAGTAGTACTTGCTCGAATAGAGCTTTTAGTTGATCCATATCCTCTCTCAAATAGTCAAAATCTTGTTGACGAATTTGATCCTACCATGCTCTCTCTTCATTCTCCATTTAGCAGTGCCCTAAATCTAGTGTTGTGAATGTACATGAGGAATTGAGCTTTGGCAGAGTGACTTATATTTCAAAATCCTATAAAGCTCAAAGAAAATACATGCAATGCATATAAAACATATATATGCATGATTTAAATTGAGTTAGGTACCTTTCTTTGTTTGATAACCTACAAAAGTCGAAGGTTAGATATATATGATTTGGAAATAATTCGTGTCTTACTGGGTCAACCTTAGTGGACAAGATCTATCTTTTTCAGTTCAACCAAAGCTTGTCTAATCCTAAAATCTTTTCAAGTTTCTGGATTGTTTAAATCACTAGTGAAGTAATTTAGCCTTTAACCTTATACACTAGGAGGTAGGGGAAGGTTATTCCACCATTTCCTATGCCTAGGGCGAGTTCTAATCCAAACGAGAGTTCAAAAGAACATCGGTAGGCTTTTTTCATACTTGCCTCCGATTCTCTTTATCTAAATACCAGTAGGGTTTTAGCTCGGCTCTAGAGCTTTTATAGTTTTCCTTGTCGTATGTGCAACAGTTCAAAGAAAGCATCCAACCTAGTTTCAAATTAAATATGTACATGAATGGAAGAAAAATAAATTGCATAAAATTAAAAGATTTAATATATATAAGAAATAAGTAACTCAAAATTAAATGAAAAAAATAAATTTCTTGAAAAATAATTAATGAAAATAAATACAAGAGATAAACTTCATAGACTAGACCTATTGCCTAACTCCAAGTCCTTAGTAGAGTCACCATTCTATCACCACCCGACGTCGAATGGGACTCTCAAAAAGAAAAAAACTATTTTAAGATTTATTGTATTTACTAAATTATTTACAATTTTAGAGTCGCCACCTAGTATTGAAGGAGTAGGAACCTAAAATGGACACATATTTATCGATTCAATGATAAAGAGTTGGTTACGCTTTTAAGAAGATATTTAATCACCCAAAAGCATCTTTTCCTAAGAAAGGTACTACATCTAATTTATCCCTAAATTTATCTCCTAAAGTATTTTATTTTTGTCAAAATTATTTTCCAATTTAAAATTCCAAGTTCTTTATTTCAAGCCATATTAATTTTTTTATTTTTGAGCGTGGCATCATATTGAAACGATTGTCGAACCTTTTCATTGAGAAACACATTGGTTCAAACATCAAATCCATTTTTGAGTCTCAACACAATCGATGTGAAGACGAACACGTAAATCACTAATTTTTTTTTACTAACGATAATCCCTATTAGATAAGAGACTTTGTTAAAAGTTTTTATGATTTTTCATTTTTCTCTTTCTTTTTTTTTCTATTTTTCTTGTATTTTTTGTATTTTTTCTTTCCTTTTCCTTTTCCTTATTTGGTGGAAGATCGTCATTAGTCCCTAATGAATTAGGAGACTTGAAAATCCTCCATTTATTAATTAATGAGCTAATTACTAAAAAAATAAATTAAAACTACATTAATTAAGTAAATTAAAAGAAATTCGGATATCGAACTTTGATTAAAATTACATTAATCAAAATAATTAAATACAATTCAAAATCTAAATTAAATATAAAATAACAAACATGCATAGAAATAAAGACACATTTTTTTTACTCTTTTTTTTTTTTTTGAAGGGTTTGGCGATCTAACCCAAAACCTTTCTTTCTTTGTTTTTTTTTTCTAGACTAGACTAGAATTCTACTTTAACAACCTAACCACATCACTAAAAAAAAAAAACAAAACCAAACCCAACTTTCGTTTTTAAAACATTTTGGATCAAAATCCTTATTTTCATAGTTTTTCTCTCTTCTTACCCATCCTTTCTCTCTCTCTCTTCCCTTTCTTTCTTCTTCTCTTCTTCCCCGAATCCACCTTCCATGGATTGAACATAACTAGTTCATCCCCCTATTTCTTTCTCTCCCCTTCCTTTTTCTTCCCTTTTCTTTCTTTCTTCTCTTCCTCATTTCTTGAATCTCCATCATTCACCTCTTTTCTTTCTCTAGGTCGAAGCTGCCATGTACGAACCAATGATGGTTCGTCCATGGCCACTTAATTCTTTCCTTTTTCTTCTTTCCTTTCTTTTCTCCTTCCTAAACCTCTAAATTCACTCTAGATTGAAAACCCCCAAATTGATTTTCAAAAATTCTTAATTTTTTGGTCGAACCTTAGGTTTAAATTTTCTTCAATTTTCTTTCATTTGGACCTAATTGGCTTGATTTTTCTTAAAATCAAACCAATTCAGACCCTTTAGGACTTAATTTTTGAAAAGCCCTCAATTCAATTTGTTCAAAAAAATTAAAAACCCTAAGTTTTAATTGAAATCAATTTAACTTCAATTTGGGATTTAAACCTTAAATTGAAACTCCAACCGACTTCAATTGAGTTAAATTCATGTTTTCAAACCCCAATTTCAAAAAAATCCCAAATTTCAACACTAAATTAGAATTCTAAGTAAAATTAATTGATTGCATAAGAGAAGGAATGTGAGGATGAAAGTGGATTGATGCTTCAAAAGGTAAATTCTATTTCTCCCTCTCTCTTTTTTTCAATTTTTTTTTTAATTGTTGTCTAACTTTTCTGCTTTGGTTTTTCATTGGTTTTTCTTTCGATTTTCCTTACTTAAAATATCTAACCCCTTTTGTGTTGTGACTTATGTATTATATATGCAAGAATGCTTGGTTTCTCTCCTTGTGTTAAGTGGGATTTTTTCCTCTTACAGGTGTCGGGTTGGGTATGGCGATAATAAAGGGGTCGCTGGTAATATGGGGAAGATTTCCAAGTGGTTGTAGGATTGATGTGCGGGGTGGTCGTGGTCGTGCAACTTGGAGAGAGGTTGTTACCTAGTTGCTACCGGTTGCATTATGGTGAGGGAAGAATTTGACAGCAGGGGAGATCTTACTTTGTTGCGGGATGCGGGATGGCCTAAGAAAGTTGACGATAGGGTGAATTATGGGCTATAGTAGTAGGGTAAGGCTACCGGAATTGTGGTGCCACTTATAATAGTAAGGGGTGATTGTAATTTGAACAGATTGGAATAGTGGGCTATGATAGCATTGGAAGGTGAAGTCTAACTTAGGGGAGGTCATGTCTAGGAGCAAAAGAAATTGCATAAAGGATGGAGGGGATTTGTCCCTCCATCCAAGTTTTTTTCCTTTTTGTATGTTTCAGCTTTTTTATATTTTTATTCCTTTTGTAATTTCTTTTTTTTTTTGAAATTTTATACTAAACTCTAATTAAATGAAAGAAAATACTTTTTTAATTTGTTTTTTTTTTGTTTTGATTTCATGTAAAGTAGACATGAATCTAAATAATAAAAAGAAAAAATAAAGAAACTTAAATAAAAGAAAAATGGATAAAATTTTAGGGTATGACACTAGAAATGAAAACATGAAGCATGCATAAAATTTTTAGATTAAATTGAACTAGAAAAACTAGTTAAAATAAAACCCTAAAAAATTAAAGGTTAGTGATCCTTTGGACCCATTGGCTTTTGACCCACTAGGCCCAAGCTCACACTCTTATCCAATGAGCCCATCCTTTTTTTTTACTTGCAGATTGACCTAAGCACAAACTATTTTCTTTTTCTTTCAAGTTGGGCTAAGCCTAGCCCAACCCCTTTTTCTTTTTCTCTTCCCCTTCCTCGAATGTCTTTCCTTTCCTTTTCTTTGTTTTTCTTTCCTTTTCTTACTCTTTTCTTTTCCTCCTCTTTTCTCGTTTCCTTCTCCGGTCACTCTCTTTCTCTTCTCATGAATTCTCGCCTCACTCACCCAAAAACCCCCATTAACAAAACCAACATCTCCGAGTTGTGGTTGTTGTTCTTCCTCTCCATTTGAAACTTTTGAAATTTAGGAATTGAAATACCATAATAAGCTAACAACTAAAATGTAAATGCGATGAATGTGATACTTGATGAACTTGAATAAGGACGAGGACTAAAAACCAAATAAATTTGAATGGTTGTGGTTGTTGTTCTTCCTCTATTTATAGGAACTTAAGAGCAATGGTAATGACTAGATTTATTGCTAGTTCATGACCTACAAAATGATTAAAATGTACCTAGAACTAGAGCTTAAATGCTTAAATGCTTATGGAGTAAGTGGGTTCCATAAATCCAGAAAAGGGCTTATTTTTTTGCCAAAATTTCAAATGTTCTTCCTAAACCCAAAAACTAAACCGGAAAAATCCTCGAATTGATCCTCTTCTAATCTTAAAAATCCTCTCTAAATCCTCTCGCTTCAATTCTTCATAATGCAGCTCTATTTATAGCCTAACCTAATCCATCTTCCACCTTAGGATCTCTTCCAATCAATCGAACCATTACCCACTAAAAATCAAAGAACATGTTCTTGGTGTTCATGGCTTTTTATGGAAATGGCAAAAATTAACATAAAAATTATAGTGTGTGTGTGTGTGTGTACATGTTTGCTAGTATGGTGCAAAGGTTAATACAAGTGGTTAAAGTGTGATTATTGGTTGATACAATTACTAGCCAAGAATCATAGAATGAATTGGGATCTTTTGTCTTCAAGAAGACGATGAAAATGGTTAAGAATTGGTTTTGGGTTGTAGCGAACGACATGTCGTTCGATCAATTTTGGTCTTTTTGTTTGCTCTCTAATTTCAATTTAGTCATTTTGTGTTTCAATCTTTCATAATTACACTCCTAATTTTCAATTCAATTATACCCTTATTGGCCTTCAAATTCAACTCTAATTTCATTCAATTTCATCTCGTAGTCGACCTTCAATTTCAAATCTAGTTGTTTTCAATTTCAATTCCAATTCTTATTTCCTTCGATTATATCCCTAATTAATCATTTCATGCGAAAGTTTCTTCCTTTTTGTGGTTTTTTCTATGTTCATATTTTTCCGTATTTCCATTTTCATATTTGTTTTTGGCTTTTCTTACAAAAATAAAAATAAATCGTAAAATTAAACATAAGACTTGTAAAATTGACCAAAATAAACATGATAAAATAAATAAAAATAAAAGGAATAAAATCATAAAAAAATACTAGAAAAATAAATATAATCCAAATTTTGGGTTATGATATTATTCATTCTTCTGCTTGGTGGAACTAGATTCAATCATCTGGACTTGTTATATGGAGTAAGACCATTTTGGATGGTCATAGAGGTGACTTAATAGAACACCCTTTCTTGCTTACATATCGAGTGGAGTCCTTCGTAAGCTCTCATCTAAATGAAGTTTTTTAACCTATCAAAAGCTACAACCATCTAGATATCTCACTTCTCAAATTGACAATCTTCGGACAATTGTCGTGGTCTTTCTCCTCGCTTAGTGCACCCATTGCGGTAAGAAGCATAAAAAACACGAACTCCACATATAACACTCTAGCTCTAGAAAGATCCATGGTTGCTTTCATCAAAGGTTCGAACAAGTGTGCAAGGATGTATGTAATAGTTCTAAACTAAATTAGGCCTACCTTGAAATTTTATCTTTCTAAACTTCATTTTATACTTACTTAAGTGTAATTAAACTACTAATGATGAGGTTGGATGATTGGAATCCAAAACCCCAAATTTGGTGAGCCTAGGCCAAATGGGTCCTTAAGGAATGGTAAGTGATTTCTTTTAATCCTAAGTTTTTGTTACAACAATAAAAGTCTAATCTTGTTCGTTTTTTCCCCTAGGCCGAATTGGTCTCATAAGAGAAAACGCTAGGAATCCATTTCCTTTTTCCCTTTTCAATTTTTCCATTTTAGGTCCATCTCACCATAGTTTGTACTAGCTTTAAATTTTGGCCTAAGGCATTTCATTTCATCCAACCATCAACACATACATGAATATATATATATATATATATATATATGACCTCCACAACTTTAGCAAATCACCCAAAATCATAACACCAATACTCAAATCCACCCTAAGCCATCCATCCATACATACATATCAACCAATACAAGCAACACTTAACTACATAACCAATAATACAAACCAACACATAACTTATACATTTAAAAATGGAATTAAAAGCATAAATAAAACCTACTTACAATGATATGTTTTTGCTTAAGATTTTCCCTAGACTTTTTTTTTCTCTTTTCTTTCTTTCATGCTTTCTTTTCTTATTTTTGTAAGCTACGAGTTTCTAAAGAAAATGACAGCCATGATCTCACTTTGGTGTATATATATATATATATATATATATATATATATATACAATCTTTTCTTCCCCATTTAATTAGTGTACAAGTGGCCTAAGCTTATTAGATAAGGTGTAAAGTAAATGGAATGAAATGGTGCAAAGTGGCGGGTTTCTTAGTCCAACTTGGTGAGTTGGCTTCCATTGCATTAAATGATGAGGCTTATGTGTCCGATTAACAAATAACTAGGTAATTAAGCTAGCTAAGTACCTAAAATAGTTTGGTTCAAGTAACATACATACACATCATATTTGTTTGTAGTAGATGTATTACGGGGTAACCTCTTATCAAGCAAGCAACAACCCAACTTTTAGACACAAGTAAATCCTATACTTTTTAGATTAGAAACTAGATATATTAATTCAAAACATATCCAAAAATTATGTTAAAATACCAAACACTCGATTAATGACATAATTTTGAATTTTAAGAATCAATTTGTCCAACAATAGTTCATCCAAAACAATATGTACTAAAATGGGCATAACATTTTATATATAAACCTAATAAAAAATATTTTACATAGGGTTATTCAAGACATAGATAAAAAACTTTTATTCTTTAATATTCACCTAGAAATCAATCTATGGTCCTTGAACAGAGCCACACAAAATTTGGACAAAACCTAATTCTCAAGAACACCGATTTTACATACTTGATTCCTCGAACTCGTTAAACCATCAATCTCAAGCAAAATAGCTTTAATTTAACACAAATCATACATTTCAAGCATTAAGTTCTTATGGTGTACACTAGTATGAGATGCTCCAAACAATCGGATAAATTGTCCAAAATTTCATTCCATAAATCCTCACCTAAACACCTAGGATGTTGTCATCCTAAAATACTATCATGGCACACATACACAATCACACCTTTACTTACTATATCTATATTTGAATATTTCAGCCTCTATATATATATATATATATATATATATATATATATATATATATATATACCGATGAATTTTCACGGGGATTATATTTCTCTCCCCTTAAAAGAAATTTCATTCTCGAAATTAGCTTATTTTAATAGTTCTCGGTATTTATCTCTCATTCCTTCCTCTCGCTCCCACTTGACTTTCTCTAAATTACGATTCCCCCATGAAACGTTAACTAAGGCGATCTCCTTATTCCTTAGTCGTCTAACCTATCTATCTAAAATCCGAACCGACCTTTCCTTATAGGTTAAGTCCGGGGTCGAGTTTAGCGGTTCTATCTCTAAAATTTGACTAGGCTCTCCAATGCAATTCCTTAACATGGACACATGAAATACATGATGTACTCTTGAAAAAGTTAGCGATAGTGATAGACGATATGCCTTATCACCTATTCGATCAAGTATCTTGAATGGTCTAATATATCGCGAACTTAATTTTCATTTCTTCCCAAATCGTTGTATGCCTTTCATCGGTGAAACCCTTAAGAATAGATAGTCACCGATGGTAAATTCTAGATCCTTCCTCCTTTTATCGGCGTAGCTTTTCCGTCTACTTTGAGCTATTTTCATCCATAGGCGGATCTTATCTACCACTTATGTCATTTGTTGCATCAACCGTAGTCCCAGCAACTTTCTTTCCCCTACTTTAACTCAATGCATGAGAGATCTACATCGACGTCCATACAAATCTTCATAAGGAGCCATCCCAATTGAAGCTTGGTAACTATTGTTATACATAAATTCAGCTAAGCTTTTGTATTTCTCCCATTTCTTGAACCAATCTAGAACGCATTCTCATAACATATCTTCAAGAATTTGAATAACTTACTTGGATTGTTTGTTAGTTTATAGATAATAGGCCATGCTAAAATTTAACTTGGTACCCATAGCCTTGTGCGGACTCTTCCAAAATGCGAAGGTGAACCTAGGATCTCAATCTGATACAATTGAGATCGAATCCCATATAGCCTCACGATTTCATTAAGATATAACTAGGCGTGTTGGTTCAAATTGTAGGGGTTCCGAATGGGAGAAAATGGGTTGATTTGGTTAACCTATCCATAATCACCCAAATGGTGTCCGACCCCTTCTCTAACCTTGGTAATCCCATGATAAAATCCATAGTTACATACTCCCATTTCTATTCTAGAATGGCTAATGGTTTTAACGTTACTAAGGGTCTTTGGTGCTCCACCTTCACTCGTTGATAAGTTTGACATCTTGCCACATGATGAGTCACATTTTTCTTCATTCCAGTGCCATCAATAACATTATCATAAGTCCCGATACATTTTCATCCCTCCCGTGTGTATTGAGTATGGAGTTGCATGTGCTTCTCTTAGTATTTCCTTCATGTTCTCCACCGAGGAGACACATAACCTTCCTTTGAATCTAAGTACTCCATGGTCATCCACCGCAATGTCGACTCCTTCTTAGCCTCTATAGTTTTCTTCAATTCATTCAGCTTTGTATCCATTTTTTACTCCATTTGAACTCGTTCTTTCTAATTCGACTGGACTAATAAAGCCGACATGATGCTCCCATGGCCTAAAGAAATTATCTTCGGCTTTACCTTTTATAGATCTCTCCCTATCGATGGTTGGATTATTTACGTTGTTATTATCGATTTTCTACTTAAAGCATCGCAACAACATTATCTTTGCTTGAGTGATAATTGGTTACACAATCATAGTCCTTCACGAGCTCTAACCACCTTTTTTACCTCATGTTTAACTTCTTTTGTGTGAAGATATATTGTAAGCTTTTATGGTCCGTATATATCTCACATTTCGCTCCATACAAATAATGTCTCCAAATTTTTAAGGAAAAAACTACAGTCGCTAGTTTCGGATCATGCATAGAATAATTCCATTCATATTCCTTCAATTGTCACGATGCATAGGCTATGACTCGTTCATTCTACATCAACACCACTCCTAGCTCATTTTTAGAAGTGTCACTATAAACCACAAAATCTCCATCTCTCGGATAGAATGGTTAGCACTAGGGTCGTGACTAACCTTCATTTCAATTCTTGGAAGCATTTCTCATAGGCATTCGTCCATTTCAACTTAATGTCCTTTTTCATCAAACTAAAAAGAGGTCGAGCTATGTTAGATAAGCCCTCCATAAATCTCCAATAGTAACCGACTAGCCCTTAGAAACTTTGTACCTTCATCACGTTCTTTAAGGTAGGCCAATTTTGGATAGCCTCTACCTTCTTGTATCCAGTAGCTATACCTCCTTTGTCACCATGTGACCTAGAAAAGCTACTTGCTCTAGCCAAAATTAGCATTTCTTGAATTTTGCATACAACGGTTGTTCCCTTAATGTTTGTAAAGTAGCTCTTCGATGTCTTTTATGCTCCTCTTTACTCCTGGAATAAACCAAGATATCATCTATAAACATGATGATAAACTTGTCAAGGAATTCTTTAAATACTCAATTCATCAAGGCCATAAAAGTGGTTGGGGCATTAGTCAATCCAAATAGCATTACTAGGAATTCGTAATGGCCATATCTCATCCTAAACGCCGCTTTCTTCACATCCTTTGATTCGACCCTCGACGGATGATATCCTAATTATAGATCTACCTTGGAGAACACCGTCGCACCTTATAATTGATTAAATAGATTATCAATCTGGGATAACGGGTACTTATTTTTAATCATCACCCAATTCAATTCCCGATAGTCAATACATAGCCGTAGACTATCATCCTTCTTTTTCACAAAACAATACCGGAGCTCTTTATGGTGAGGAACTAGGGCGTATGAATCCTTGATATGGTAAGTCTTGTAGTTGCACCTTCAACTCTTTCAACTCAACTCGGGGCCATCCTATAGGGAGTCCTAGAAATTGAATTCATGCCCGGATCCGGATCGATCTCAAATTCTATCTCCCTCTCTAGCGGTAGCGTAGTTAAACTCTTTGAGAATACACCTAAATACTCCCGTACGATCTTTATATCTCCTAGTTTTGATCTTTGTTCCACCCGATTATCCACCACGTGTGCTAGGTACCCTATACACCTTTTTTCTAGCATTCTTTGAGCCTTTATAGTCGAGATGATCGATACAGACTAGGAACTTTATATCAACCTTAAACTCTAAGTGGCCGATCTCTAAGTAGATCAAAAACTACTCTCAATGGTAGCTCCATGCCTCGTTAACCAATCCATTTCCATAATCAAATTAAAATCTTGGAGGTCTAATACTATCAAATCAGCCTCTATACTTCTATCCTCAATCCGTACTAGACA